GCACCTGCCCCTCCAGAGGTCTCTGCACGGCCCTGATACAGACTTTAGTTTTGGTTCATGAGCATCTTGTTTCACCTGTAAACAAACTGATAGTGATACCGGCGTCCACTGATGCAGGAACAGCTTAAAGTCACTGGACACTGAAACATTTCAAACCTCTGTGTGAGAAAGTGAAGGTTAGAAACAAACAGCCAGCGGTTGACAGACTAAATAAAATATGAAAGATCCTCATAACAAATAAAGAAAACTGAAGAAGTTCTGCTATAGATTCACAGCCCAGCATGTCTACAATCCACACATAGAACCAGTGCAGACACGTAACTCAGAAACATTTCATACTTTGTCCACCAGCAGGTGCTGACAAGTTGATTTCTCCGTTTAACAGCAGCTTGTTCAGAGCAGAGTTTTCATGATTCTTTAACAGCAGCATTAATTAATATTTAACATGAACGCTGGAGAGTGTGTGTGTGTGTGTGTGTGTGTGTGTGTGTGTGTGTGTGTGTGTGTGATGGGACAGCTGGTGTTTGTAGTGACGAACCCACAGACACTTTCCACCTCTCCCTGGTGTTTGGCCCACAGCTTCAATACTCGAGTTCAGCTCTAATCAGTGCTTTCTGATTGTCCTTCGCTCCTTTGTGATTTATGATGAACTCTCTTTGGGTTTTGGACAATAAGCTGATGTTACTTTTTATGGGATTAAATTCATGCTGTAACAACTGAACACAAAAATAAATAAACAGACAATAAATTATATTTTGTTTTTGTGACCATGTGACTCATTAATAGAGACATTTATCATCACATTTATCAGTGATGAAGTAAATTGTTAGTCAAACCTTACTGACAACACATTTCTCTCATCTGGAAGAGGCAGTTTCATTATGTCCCAAAACACCTAAAAATGATCACGAGGTCAATCAGTGAGTTGATGTAATTGACAAACTCTTTAACTCATTTTCATAATAAGTAAAAATATTCACTGCAGGCGTCTCAACTGTTAATGTTTCTTAGTTTAGTCAGTTTCTGTGATAATAAATTCAATTTTGTTTTTTTACCAACAGATCAAACAAAACAAGACATTTACAGAGATTCAGTAATAATGGGCATTTCTCCACAGTTTTATTACTTTTTAAACAATTGATTGTCATAAATAATGTCACTGAAAGTAATCACTGTTCATACCACATTATTAAAAGAAAAATGTTGATTTCTTTGATCCATTTGACAGCAGCCAGTCCTGGACAAACTGATGTACATCAACAGTAAAGTGATGCAAAATCATGTAGCAAAAAAACGTGATAAAATGAATATGCTTTACAGAAGAAGCCAATTCTACAACCACTAGAAAGGGTTCATCTTTTTAAAAACTGGTAGAAAAACAAACAAACAAAATAAATAAATAAACAATATTTTTAAAAATGCATTTAAAAAGCAGATTCATGTAACTAAAAAGAAAATCTACAGTGTAAAATACAGCGAAAAAAATAAATAATGTGGTGGGGAAACTTATGAAATAAACTGCAATTTTCCAGCAGCTGGGTGCTAAAACTAACTAACTAACTAACTAACTAACTAACTAACTAACTAACTAACTAACTAACTAACAAAACTGTGTAAAATGATGAAAACTAAGCCTCTTAAAAATACTGTAATTTTCCATTCCTATAATATAGTTTACAGTCTTCATTTAACATGAGATCATGTGTATTACTTTTTACTTCTAAATGTTTAATGAAAGCTGTTCACATGTGTGACAATAATGAAATTGCTTCTATCATATATTGATAATATATAAAGATATATATAAAAATGCATTTTAAATGGATTATTGATGCTTATAGATATTATATCTGATAAAAACACATCTTTCACACATTTTTTACATTTTTCTTGTAAAAACCATAATGCAATACATCGCTATTTAACAAACGTGTGTAAAATTACAAAAACATGACTTCCATTAACTGTCAGCCATGATATCAGATTTTAGAAAAACATTTCAAACTTCATAAAAAAGTTTTTGAATGCATTTTCACATATCCTCTATATTTGACAGATATTTTTTGTAGCTTAACAAATTCAGTTTTCTTATTAATAACTTATTAATGGTATTTTAGATTGATGTGTAAATTCATTTTTGCATTTTTGTGGCTAAAATGTTTTTATATTTTCAAAATACAGGGGAAAAAATCTGTCATTTCTTTTACAGTGTGAGCTGGACAATTTTTAAGAAAAAGCAGGATGGTTTAAAACAAAGTGGGGAAAAAAAAACATTTAAAAACTTTAAATCCCACCTCAGTGCTGTTCTCTCAGCTGGTTGTGCTGCTGCTCACAATACAGCCTCTGAAAATCAATTAAAACTGCTTTAAGGGGATTTTTATCAGTTAAGGGTTAAAAATAACACAAGTCCTTTACACTGTTGTCAGATGTTCAGGCTCTAATACAAATATATGTTAAATAAAGTGACAAAATAATCAAATTACTGTTAGAGTCCGATAGAGAGGAGAGAGAGAGAGAGAGAGAGAGAGTATGGGAGAGGGAGGGAGGGGGGGAGAGAGAGAGAGGGAGAGAGAGAGAGAGAGAGAGAGAGAGAGAGAGAGAGAGAGAGAGAGAGAGAGAGAGAGAGAGAGAGAGAGGAAAGGCTGCTGTGGTATAAAAGCAGGAGTCAGACTTGAGCAGCTCTGAAGTTGTGAGGAGACACTCAGAGCGGATTAAACACCTGCTAACGTGCTTTTTTCTTCATTTTCCTTCTGGATGCTGATCAGAGCTGAGATTTGGAAAATGATTCTAATGTCACAGAAAATACCAGTTGGATGATGGAGAGGCCGTCCTGTCTGCGCTGTCATTTCTGTTTCTTGGATGTCTAAGTTGATCAAACAGTGTACAAAAAAGATTTTAAGAAAATGCTGAAGGTGAAGTGAGTAAGATGAAGAAGAGGAGGCAGAAGTGCGTCTTTGCGTCAACACCTGTCGTCTGACTGCCGGATAAAGTGCTGGACATGGAGCCGCTTTTGTTTTGGTTTTGCAAAAGAAGAGAAGCGGTGGATGAAGATGTGAGCGATTTCAGGGTGATCTCCAGGCTTTCCTTTGAGCTCAATGACAGGGGGATCTGACGGGCGAAGGTGGAGGGATGGAGAATGCCAGTCAGCTCAAACCAACGCCTGCCATCTACGGAGAGCTGTTGAACATCTCCACCAACGACACCCATGCAAATTTCACGTCGAAAGCGGAGGAGAAGGACACTAACTTGGCTTTCCAGGCGGGTCTCGCCGTGACCTTAGCCCTCATAACTTTAGCCACGACGCTCTCCAACGCGTTCGTCATCGCCACCATCTACCAGTCCCGCAAATTACACACGCCAGCAAACTTTCTGATCGCCTCCCTGGCGGTCACCGACCTGCTGGTGTCCATTTTGGTGATGCCCATCAGCGCGCTGTACACGGTGAGCCAGACGTGGACTCTGGGGCAGGTGGTGTGCGACATCTGGCTCTCCTCGGATATAACGTGTTGCACCGCGTCCATCCTCCACCTGTGCGTAATTGCGCTGGACCGCTACTGGGCCATCACGGACGCGGTGGAGTACTCCAAAAAGCGCACGCCGGGGCGCGCAGCCGGGATGATCGCCACCGCCTGGGTGATCGCGATCTCCATCTCCCTGCCGCCGTTCTTCTGGCGCCAGGTGAAGGCGGAGGAGGTGACGACCTGCAACGTGAACACCGACCACATTTTCTACACCATCTACTCCACCTTCGGCGCGTTCTACATCCCCACGCTGCTGCTCATCGCCCTGTACGGGAGGATCTACGTGGAAGCCCGAAAGCGCATCCTGAAGCAGTCGCACAACAAGCCGGGCAAGAGACTCACCTCGGCGCACCTGATCACCAACTCCCCGGGCTCGGTGGCGTCCACCACCTCCCTGAACTACGGGACGAACGACACCTCCTCCTCCTGTGACACTACCTCGTCCGCGAACGTGAGCCAAGTCAAAGTCACTGTGTCCGACGCGCTGCTGGAGAAGAAGCGCATCTCCGCCGCCAGGGAGAGGAAGGCGACCAAAACTTTGGGAATAATCCTCGGAGCCTACATCATATGCTGGCTCCCGTTTTTCATTTACACTCTTCTAGTGCCTGTCTGCGAGTCCTGCTTCCACCCGGAGTTATTTGACATTTTCACCTGGCTCGGTTACCTCAACTCCCTCATCAACCCCATCATCTACACCATGTCCAACGAGGACTTTAAGCAGGCTTTCCACAAACTAATACGGTTCAGATGCTGCAGGGCATAAACGATGATTACCAGCCATAATTACCCCCCCTCCTCCTCCCTCCCTCACCTCCATCTCTAATCATGTGTATAATGCCAGAATTGAATCCAAACCCACCACAAACATGTCACTCCCCGGGTTTTCCCTGAGGGCTCCATCAACCAGTGTTCACATTGCTTGTGATAATGTGGCTCCAGAATGAGCTTTTTACCTGCTAGATGGTGCAGAGGACTCCTGCAGTCTGCATTGTGTTATCTGATGGTGCTGCAAAATGAATGGCTCCCACTTCTTAACCAGTGGATTCCTTTTTAGAACACATATTATAGCTGGCTGTTGTTAATTCAGAGGTGAAAAGTGATGTTAAGAGGTGGAAGCCCTGTGACTGATTTGCAGCTGATAGTGTTATTACACTGACTTGGAGAAAGCCCATAGCCCCAGATGCAGGGGCCCCGCCTGTACGTGCTGCACTGGACTGTAGCCTACAGACTCACTTTGCCATAAGAGTTTGACAGTCAACCTCAGTTGGCTCGTAAGCACAAACAGCTTAGGCCTAAGCTACGTGAGCCCCAAGGGCAAAAAATAAGATTTGTGTTTCATTTTCCTGACTCAATAAGGGGAAATACTGGTGCCTACAACATGTTTAGTTTAGTTTCTCAGACGTGCCTGGCCCAGACAGAGATAAAAGCATGATTTTTAGTTTGAGAAAAAGATCCAAATTTGCTTTATTCTTGTGGCCAGTGTATGTGTTTTCTTTTCTTTTCTTGCTGTGGCTGATGTTCACTTTAATCAAAGCTCCCAACCTGAGTGTAAATGTCCGAATCTGTATGCATCAGTGTGATTTTTAACCTTAATTTCTGGAGAGACTCTGGGTTTTGCTCAGTCGAATTGGCATCACTCAGTAAAATAACGCTAAACGGTCGTCTCTGGCGGAGGGAAATTGGAATCAATCTACCAGATCTCTTGTTAAAGATGCATTCCTAACTGTTAATATCAGCTTTGGTGTATCATTTCATCACAGGCTAAAACAATTCAGATCTGAATCCAGAGGCTGACAGCACAGGGTTCCTACAGTCATCTCGTGGCATTTGTGTCTCCCACACCTGAAAAAGTTGTGGAGGAGCGTAAATATTTTTTTTTAAATGCTAGAAAATGTCACGGTATTCTGATCAAAATCAACCTTTTTTCCTCCCAACAAACCGTCACATGTTAAATGTCAAGCTGGAGCTGCTGCTGCTGATCCCTTAAAAGAACTTTTCGAAGAGAGGGAGAGAAAAAAAAGACAGAAAAAGACCAAAATCATGTTTGCTTGCAGCCAGAAAAAGAAGCAAAAACGGTATTATTGATGGAAAAAATGCTAAACGTCTGCTATAAGTCTGTGGCCACCTTTGAAAACACTCATGTTTTTGGAATCATTGCTGGGAATTTGGGGATTTGAACAACTTGAGGAGGAGTTTGAATTGTAGAAATACACCTAAATGACACATGGGTAAGTGTTACGGCTCACTGGACTCTTTTTCGGCCTAATTATACGTTAAATTAAGGAGATTTGCAGTAGTATCGCTGTAACGGAGATAAATTTGTCATAAAATGTCATTTAAATGTTACCTGAATGTCAAAAAGAACCTTAAAATAATCAAAATAATAAACAAAAGAAAGGTTTTTAGGGAGGATGGGGTTGCATTTTAATCTTAATTTCCCCTTAATACTAAAAACTCAAAAAAATGTGTAGGAACCCTGTCTGGATAACTTAAAGGAATATTCTGACATTTTGGCGCCCATGTTTTCTGGTTTTTCTCTCTGACACGTTGAGAATGTTGATGCCACTCTCATGCCTGTTGAGTCGCTGATTTATCGTGAAACTCCTACGACTCTGTCGGACTCCCAGCGGACCCTTTTCTTAACGCACACATTCCTCTCCCTCGGCAAAATCTGGTGCCTACATTACCCACAATGCAAATACTGCCTCTGACGGACCAGTCAGTTTGTGTTACGCTAGTAGCGGCTAATGTAGCCTGGAGCCTGTAGCAGAGGTGAGGAGCAGCTGCAGACACCTGGTAAGCTCACTTCTTCTTCTTGATTTATTTTTAACACAACTCCGTCTGGAGACACTGAAGAGTTTTTTCATACACGCAGAAGTTCCCCAAACATCGTAAATGCATTTTGATAAGTAAAGTTAGTGAAGTATGAAGCTGGGGTCAGGAGGTGATTAGCGTAGCTTAGCATAAACACTGGAAGCAGGGGGAAACAGCTAGCCTGGCAAAGCTAAAAACAAAAAAAAACCCCTACGAACACTTATAAAGGTAATTTTCTCTACAACATAAAGTCTTAAACTTCTTTGGAAACAGCTAAACGGTGGCTAGAAGTGGAGAGAAATGTCTTCTGTGCAGTATGATGCAGTTATTGTGCCATAAATCATAAAAAAGAGAAAAAACTGAAAAAGTTGAATTTCTTTGATTATTTATTTTACAAAAATTGAAAACACTGGAATCAACAAATGCTGACAGATGTTACCAATAAAAAAGAAAAATGGTGATTCCAGATTCCACAGTATTGTACTACCTATACATTTTAAATGAGTTTTTATACTTTATACCTGCTCTGTGTGAAGTTCAGCTGACAAATTAGTTGTTTTTTAACGTTCAACTGAGCTGAGTCATGCTTTTGCAATTGCATAAAGGAGTCCAGATTTTGTTAATTTGTCTTTTTGAACAAACATTTTTTTATTAATTTTAAAATTAGATGTGGAATAAAGTGGAATTTTAGGATTTTAAGCTTAAATTTGGTTATTTTTTTCTGACAGAAGTGCACTTTGTATATCATACAGTTGAAAATCTGACAATTCTTTCTGTTTTTATGACTTCTGCCTGATAAATTCTTTCATTTCTGCGATTGTTTTAAATTGACATGACTTTAAAACCAGCCCTTCAGTAAGTTGAATCTGTGGACAGACCAAAATGTTTAGCTTCTGTGTTCTGTGACAAACATAACTTACTATTTCGTGGCTAAGACGTTACAGCTTGTCTACAAATTAAACTCAAAAGGCACTCAGAGATCACGTGAGCCATTGCCTTGTCTCATGATTTAACAGAAAGTGATTGCACCAAAATGTGATCTGTTCTGGCTTTGCTGACCTCTCCACCAAGTTTGATGAAATTCAGCCTAGTAGTAGATTTTGGGGAAAACCTGGTGACAGACAGACAAAAAAACAAACAGAATGACAGCAAAACAAATGGCAGTGGATCCTGAAACATACCTCCACTAAGGGGAACCAGTGTCACACACATTACGTAGGAAGCTTTAAAGTTGTTGGCATGTTGGTCGACTTCCTGTTCGTTCCTGCTTTCTGCCTTCATGGCTCCAGCTTCATGCTTCACATGCAGACATGAGAGTGGTATCAATCTGTTCTGCTAATTCTCAACTGGAAGGTTAAAAAGCTTATTACCAAAATGTCACATTACTCCTTGAGCTATAAAAAGCTGAAATTCAAAGTGGATAAAGTGACTAAATGTCCCTGATGAATACAGCTATCTGCCACAAAATGGCTGCAGAGAGTTTGTTGCACCAGTTGAAGCAGATGGAGTGTCTATAAAAAAGAAAAAATGGAGAAAAAAAAAAACCAACTCCTGGTGTGTGATTGTAATTTTCCTCACTGCATCAAAGATGGCTGCCAGAGCTTCTGGCTCCCACCTTGTCCTGTAAATGACCGGCGGCCATTTTGGGTGTTTGAGTCACATTGGACGTACTGTAGCCATCCCGCTCTACTCCAGCTCTGTGATGAATAGCCTCTTTGTGTACAGTATTGATCAGCTCAGTGTGAACCTCATCTGGTGGCTCTGTCAGTCCAATGGAAGTTGCATTTCATCCGGGTTAGCTTCTCGCTGTACAACGCTTCTGCACACATCGGCAATGCACTGTAACTGCTCTGCTCTGGAGGATGAGATCCAGCCCACGTGGAGCAGAAAAAAGCACTGCTGCTGTTGTGAAAACTGAGAAAAAAAAGAAATAAAATGAATAAAAAAGGTCTATAGCATCATGAGGTTATGACAGTTTTCCCACATGTATTCACTGATTAAACATCTGTTTTAATGTGATTCTGAAGCTCAAGCGCTGTACAAAAAAAAAACAAAGAAAAAAAAACAAGAAAAAAAAAAAACAACGGACGACAAGGAGAGCGTTGACATTTCTTTTATCACTGTCAGAATCTGCTGTGGTGTCTGGTCTGCTTGCTGGTGATAAAACATTTCACAGATGTGGGCTGAGCGATATGCTGTGTGACGACGTTATTGGTTTGTAACTTAATTAATCAGCGGGGGAAAACAGTCTTAACTACGAGGAAAATGTCAGCTAGGAATGACTAATTAAACGTACGCCTGCTCCCTCATTGCGTTTTCCTGCTGCGTATCTAAAACTATGCATCTTTCACCATGAGTGGGACTGTATGTTAATGTGCGCAGCTCAGCGTACAAACAATACAATAAGGGTTCTTTCACGCTACGCCGGCCGTGGCTATTGTGCGACGGAGGGCGGGTTTGTCGCGCATATCTGCATTTCATGAGATGTGCAGTGTTTTAAAAGTCAGATTTCATACACGCCAAATAAGTATCTGCACCACATGGTAGTTCTAAGTATGTCATGTGTTCACACTGGACTAAAATTAATCCAAAAGTCAGTAGCAGATGGTTTTTGAATGGAAGCACACTGTTAGACCCACAATGCACTGCTCAGGGGAAAAGGATAAGCTTGTCATTTCCACCCAAAAAAAAAAATGCTGATAGTGGACAGCTTTAGAAAGATCTAGGAAAACATCAAATAACTATTAAACCTCTTAAACAGTATTTCTCATTTCCCCCCCTTAACCTCGTCTGCAGCGGCTGTTAATTGCTTAAATTAAAGTACAAATTACTGTTATCTGTCTGCATGGAAATATAGCACATATTCAGACTGAAAAGCTGTTTCCTTGTTGCTGTGATTGTAAATTACTTTTTTTTTCTGTTGGTTAGTGAAAGAAAAACATTTGTAAT